AATGAAAGTTTGGTGGAAAAAAATGTTGTAATGGGTTGAGTATTTATAGGAGAAGAAAAGTAGAAAAAAATAAATTTTTTTTCTGTGACCAAACGGTCACTAAAAAATTCAGTGACCGTTTTGGTCACAATTTTTTTTTTCAATTACATGAACCCACGAGCCGAGCGCTCGTGGGCTCGTCTAAACGAGCCTGTGTCGTGGGCTCATTTACTAGCTGCTCGTGAACAGTACTAGCAGAGCGGGCTTGGCTCGTGCTCTTTTTTTTCGAGCCCCGAGCGGCTCGTGGGCGTAAATAGTATGAGCAGAGTGGCCAGCTGACGAGCCGCTTGACTCGATTGACACCACTAAAACTAACTAAACATTTAAGGGCATCGTATGTGAAGGACTTAGTCAATGGTATATCTGTGGCGAAAGCACTCATTGACAGTGGAGCAACCATAAATACCATCACATCTAGGATGATGGAGAAATTTGCAAAGACAGAAAGCAATATGATCCCAAAAGAAGTTATTCTCACAAGTTTTAATGAAGGTGCAACTTCAGCTAATTGGGTAATGCCACTGGACATAACTGTGGGAACAACTACTAGGACCACAGTCTTATTTGTGATAGATGGTCCTACTAGTTACAATATGCTACTAGGAAGGGACTGGATCCACGAGAGTCGTTGTATAGCTTTATCGCTCCACCAATGCCTGATTTTCTGGAATGACAAGGGCGAAATAGAAGTGGTGCGGGCAGACCATAGACCCTTTGTCAGTAGAAATGTTCATGTACGAAGGAAATTATAGACCTGTCAGGGTGGTTCAAGATGAAGAAGAAACTCAGCTTGTTCACAGAGTAAATAGCCATTCTCAGTAGATGCACTTACTGAAAATGTTCATTCAAATGAGGTCAAATATAGTGGCATTGAAAGAGCCAGTGATTGGTAAAAAGATAATCAAGGAAATTTAATGAGTTATCAGCAACAAGAACATATTGCTGACATTCAGGCCTTCAAAATCAAATTAATGGCTTTCAATAAAGAATGTCAAAAAAAGGCGAAAGAAGAAGTAGCATTAAAGACGATGGGAAACAAATTGGTAGTGTCCGAGTTAGAGCAGAATATTGGCCGAGAAGTCATCAAGGTGGATTGCTTAGAAGAGGAAGTGCTTGCAAGGAATCTAGACGATGAGGTAATGAGGATCACAAAGTTTGAGCATGCTCAAGCACAAGACCCTTTGAGTCGGGTAAACATTGACGACGAATGGGAAGATCGCCCAACATTTATCAGCTGGATGCTTAGTCAAGAGATTAGTAGTAAATTAATCGCTTTATTAAAAGAGTATAAGAATTGTTTTGCTTGAGAATATGAACATATGCTCGGTTTAGATAGAAATTTAGTAGAACACAGATTACCAACCAAGCCAAGTTTCAAACCTCATAAACANAATCGCTTTATTAAAAGAGTATAAGAATTGTTTTGCTTGAGAATATGAACATATGCCTGGTTTAGATAAAAATTTGGTAGAACATAGGTTACCACCTAGGCTAAATTTTAAATCTCATAAACAACCTCCTATGCGTTTTCCTCCTAATATACTTCCTGAAATAAAGAAAGAAATATAGCGATTGTTAAAACAAGTTTTATTAGGACAGCCAGATATGTGGAATGGTTATCTAATATCGTGTCATTGTTAAAAAAAGAATGGTAAATTAAGGACGTGCATAGATTTTAGAAATTTAAATTTAGCAAGACCTAAAGATGAATATCCAATGCCTACCGTGGATTCTTTAGTAGACTCAACTGCGGGACACGTAATGTATTCCTTTATGGATGGATATTAGGATACAACCAAATCTACATAACTGAAAAAGATGTACACAAAACTACATTTAGATGCCTTGGGGCATTAGGATGCTTTGAATGGGTAGTTATGCATTTCGGCCTGAAAAATGTAGGGGCAACTTATCAAAGGACAATGAATTTGATTTTTCACGCATGATAGGCAAGTTTGTTGAAGTGTATGTAAATGATATAGTAGTCAAGTCTATTAAAGATGAAGACCATTTTGAACAGTTGAAACACTCATTTGAGTGAATGAGGCAATACGAACTAAATTTGAATCCGTTAAAATGTGCATTTGGTGTTAATGCAGGAAATTTCTTTGGTTTTCCAGTGCATGAAAAAATAAAGCAAATGCCATTTTAGAGGCCAGGCTATCCGACAACAAGAAAGAATTGCAAAGATTTCTAGGCCAAATAAACTTTTTAAGACGTTTTATCACTAATTGTGCAGGGCGAACGAAAGCTTTCTCGTCCCCTTTAAAGTTGAAAAATCAGGACGAATTCGTTTGGAAAGAATAGCGTCAAAAGGCTTTTGATAGCCTGAAGACATATTTTTCAAGTCCGTCAATGTTAGTATCACCTGTCCAAGGACGGCCAATGAAGGTGTACGTGTCGGCTGAACAAGAATTGATAGCCGGAATGGTTGTGCAAGAAGACCAATTTAGTAGTATTACCGAAATTTGAAATACAATACATACCCCAAAAGACAGTAAAAAATCAAGTATTAGCTAATTTTTTGATCAATCATCCATGTCTTGACATGCCT